TATGTTTCAGCGTTACTATAATTGAACTAGTATGTGAAAAATGAAATAAAAAAAACATAACTCATGCAATAACATATATTGTCAAACAAAACTGTTATATAATTAAAATGATATTTTAATGTTGATAACGAAATTAATGCGTGTGAAAAATAAAATAAAAAATTAGAATAATATTATCAAATGAAAGCGAAGCATAATTAAAATAATACAATATCACTTTATTTCGTGATCCATGTTGCTACAACTTACATGGACCATGATGAATAGTAAAATTTTCCCAATTTAATATCGTTGATAAAATGATATATTGAAATAATAACTGCGAGCAGGCTGGCTGATGAGATAATTACGCAAAAATTTCAGCGAAAAGTTAAAGAAATAAAAATACATTGAATTTGATGATTGTAGTACGTCCGACAACATTATTACGCAAATACATTGCATTGCATTCGTGGAAAATAAGAGAATGACCCACACGGTCCCACCAGGCCAGCACCGTGGAGATTGGGGAAAATTAAACCAACATCCAATTACGACTTTGTCAAATACTCCACCAATATATATATATATATATATATATATATATATATATATATATATATATATATATATATAGAAGAATTTGCATAGTATTGATTGGTTTAGGGATCTAATTGTAGTTTTTTTTAGTACAGTGACTCAATTGTAGTTTTGTGTGCACTTCAGTAACTTATTTGACCTTTATTCCCTTTTAATTTGATCCCTTAGTAATAACAATAATAATAAAAACAACAACAATTATAAAATATAGGGTTAATTCCACTACTGTTCCCTTGTTTTTTGTAGCAATTTCAAATTTAGTACCAAACTATCGTTTTTGTCATTTAACATTTTAGACTATTATTTTTTGGACATTTTTAGTCATTCTCATGACTTTTTCTATTTTTAGTAAGGATATTTTTGTCTCTTTATATTTTTCTTTTGTTATTTTTTTCCGGTTTCAACCGGTTTAATTGGTTTAGGACTTTACTAAAAATTGGTTGAAAATATGGCTACTAAAAATCAGAGGTTAAGTAAAGTTCTAAATCAATTAAACCGGAAAAATAACAAAAGAAAAATATGAAAAGACAAAAATTCCCTTACTAAAAATAGGAAAAGTGATGAAAAGGATTAAAAGTGTTCAAAAAAATAATAGTTTAGGATGTTAAATGACAAAAACGATAATCTGAGACTAAATTTGAAATTACCACCAAAGACAAGTGACCTCTGATGAAATTAACTCTAAAATATATCATGGACCATGATTCATTATTATAATATTGTAGGTTCATTAAGAATAAATCAATTTACATATTATCATTTACACATATTATTCTTTATTATTATTTTTTAAATAAAATCAATGTTACAAATATATTATTATAAATAGGGAAAATTGCACTTTTGGTCCCTCAATTGTTTCCAAATATGCAATGTAGTCCCTTATTGTCAATTTTTGCTAAATTAGTCCCTCAAATGTTTCAATTACAGTCAATGTAACTCTGCGATCAAATTTGTTAGTAATATTGTTAAAACCATGGACAATTTGGTAATTTCGCAATAGCTTTGGTTACACACCAACCTCTTCCGTTCTCAGTCCCCTCTCTTAGACGGACAGCAGCCAACATCACCCATCATCGACAACCAACAACGAAACTTTCTTTCAGCTTCTCACCTCGACAGTTCTTTTCGGCACGAGTAGACATCTCTAACGACGAACAGAGCAGTGCCAACTCTCTCTCTCTCTCTCGCTTCCTATCGCGGCGGCAATCTTGGAGGAGCTCCGGTGAAGCAACGGAGACGTCAGCCAGCAGCTCCGACGACTCTTTCTTCCAGGCAACGAGATTCCTTCAAGCGTCGTGGCGGAGTCCAACAACAGCAGCTCCGACGACTCTTTCTTCCAGGCAACGAGATTCCTTCAAGCGTTGTGGCGGAGTCCAGCAACAGCAGCTCAGTCTCCCCTATTTCTATCGATCTTCCTCCTTTCTCCAAGCGTGAAATCACCGGCGTAGGGGGAAGAGAACCCTCCGCGACGTAAATCATCGATCTAAGAATTTTTGCACAATTTGTTCGGTCGATTCAGGAGGCTCCGGTCAGGTATCCACAACACATTCACCACCGCAGATCTTCTGTGCTGACAGTGAAGCAGCATCCCGGCCGCAGCGATGGTTTCCATCAACGACGAAGAACCTTCACAGATTTTGACCGATCATCAATATGAGGACGACGATCACTTTGCAGAGGTCGCAAGAGTGGTTCGCTGCTACTCGTTCGTCGCGTGAAAGGAGAGTTGCCTTGTCTGCTCACTGCCGTAGCCACAGCTCGCCGAAGGAGCCGCTATCCTGACCCCTCGCCGCCGTCGCCAGAGCTCACGAAACTCCACCATGTCACCGCTGATCTGCTGCTTGACGAGAGATAGACACCGAGAGTCGAGAGAAAAAAGGAGGAGAGGGGGCTGCTGGAGGGGACCTAGACCTCGTTGGATTTGCTTGCTGCTCGCGTGTAAGAAAAAAGGGTGGTAAAGAGGGGTAAAGTGAAATTACCATTTTGTCTATAGATTTAACCGTGATTTGAGACAAATTTGACTGCAGGGCTACATTGACTACAATTGAAACATTTACGGGACCAATTTAACAAAATTGACAATGAGGAACTACATTGCATATCTGAGAACAATTGAGGGATTAAAAGTGCAATTTTTCTTTATAAATATTTCATCGAGAACTTTTAAATGATACATAAGTAGCTTTATTGAACTGGATGGCCCTCTCCACAAGATTAAAATGATAAATGACAATTAAGTAAGCATTTATTTCTTTTGTGTTTTCCAATAATTTTTTCGTTTCTCTGCACCTTAATGTGAATCTTGACAAATGCATGCATGCTCTGTAAAAAACATAATGCATTCAATTAAATAATTCTTCCCAAATTCAATTAAATAATTATTCAACTTTTACGGCATGCAACAGATCAGATCAACCTAATTATATAATAATTTTTTATATTAAAATTTACTTGGTTTTAGTTTTTGCCATTTTCTCCATGTTTTTGTCGTGTCGGCTGGTTTCAACGTTCACTTAAGCCTCCGAGAATGAATTGTGAGGGAATTGAAGAACAAAAAGAGATCCCATGCATGCATGAATGATCAAGCATTATTTATAATTTTTGATATCTTTCGTGTTAAGGTTATTGGTGCACTAATAATTTAACATTGTACAATCAGATCGCATAATAATCAGCCAAAGAATGCCGTAATAATTTTTTTTTTTTTTTTTAAGTGTTAATTAACGTACATCCGGAAAGGTCAGATCTAGAGAGGGAAGATGGAGATCAGAGAGTGTGAATATAATTAAGGTTGAAGAGAAGTGCATGCATTTCATCAACAAAAATTTTCTCAAGAAAGTGAGAAATGAATATCATGAAAATGGGTGCATTGAACATAATGGTTAGCTAGCAGCCTAGCAGGCAAAGGATGACATGTAGGACCAATCCCAATTACATTTGTCCTAGCTTCCTAAGTCCTAAAATTGTGCAAATTATAGTGAAACTTGGTTCACATCACAAGATAGACAATGATAAATATTTATTTTTAATAAATTAAATATTTATTTTTAATGTTTTAAAGATTCATTGTTAAGTAATATACTTAAAAATAAATTTTCAATGTATTAAAAATGATTTAAATAAAAGTAAAAATTCAGACACTAAAAATAAAATTAATGTTAGTAACACAGTCACGTTACAATTTAGACTATAATCGCTAAAATTGTAGGTGCATAATTGAAGAAGAAAAAGTGTGATCTTGAATGCTTTATTCACGCCCAGAGAAGCAGAATCTGTGGCTATACGATAAGACTTAAAAGGTTTAGACAATGTGCAGGTGGAGCGAGTCTGGTGCTCTCCACTCTCCAGTGGTTCAAAGTCTTAACAACACAGTTGAATCATCTTTTTTTGGTGATTTAATTTATGTCCATTTGTTAGTTCGGGAGTCTGTCTCTTTGACTAATTGCAATGAGTGATTTTTCTACCCTCCTTTTTTCATCTAACAATTTGAACTAGACCTTTGTCTACAAGATCCTGTAAGTAAGTCTCCCCCAATTCTTCCATGATGTAATATATATGCCTCTAGCTTTAAGAATCCCTCAACAACCCATAGCCTAATCAATTTTTTCACAAAAATCATACTATCTTCTAGGAAAACACCAAAATACTCAAAATGTGATAGATGTAAGGGCCTTTGTAGTTTGTAACACATCATCTAGCTGGGGCTGAGAGGAAACATGCAGGAACTTTCTATGTTTAGATCCATATATACTCAAAATGTATTTACTAATAAAATTATATTACACTCTTTAAGATTCTGAATGTCAAATTTAGAAAATTCAGTAGTGTATTAGACTTTTTTTTTTTTTTTTGAAAGCAAAATAACAATAGATTTAATGAAATCAGGGAAACATAGTCTCAGTACAAACTGTTTACCTGAGGATAGGCTACTGTAACTAAATAATGTGCTAGAGAATTAAAAGAACATGGAATAAACTGAATAGAACAAGCATTAAAAGATCTCATCATACGGGCCCTACAATCTGTAATGGTAATGCCAACGTAAGACTTGTAAGACTTGTAATTCGTCGAAGAATTGGCCAATCTGTGACAAAGAGTAGAACAATCTGAGAGAAGACAAACTGTAGTCACTTCCTGAATTTTCAGCAACGTTAGAGCTTCCTTACATGCCATAGATTCCGCCATTAAAGGGCTTGTGCAATGCGGTAACGGTCCATTACTCCATTAGCAGCATCAACAAAGGTACCGTCTGGCAAGAGGATGATGGATCGGAGCCGTAGGTAGCTCTGCTCGTCCAAGAAACAATACAAACTACATCAACAAAAGTTGGATACATACAGCATTGGAAATTATCCACAAATTACATGCATAAGAATGTAGCTCCATACAAATTATAAAGTTTGGTTTCATGTCTTTTTTTGCTGAATCCGAGTAATGACCCCATGTCGTCCACGCTCAAATGTGTGATAAATTGTGCTCTATTCCTCTCAGCTTTCATCCTCAAAATGGAAACCAAATAAGAAACATGAAGAGACATGAAACATGAACGCTCAGAAAACTTTAATTTAAAGAAAATACTTCATTGAATCATAAGGCTCAGAATATAATATAGGGGAAATTGTAATTTATGCCCTTCATAAATATGCCAATTATCAATGTTACCTCTGAATTATTAGTGGTATAAATGTTGCCCCTCAATTTTCAAAACGTGACATATATTGCCCCTCCCCTAAATTATTAGTGATGTATATGTGGTTACACGTCGTCTTTCTTGTTCGAAGGCCACACTTTTTATCCTAAGTTTTTCTTTCTTCGCTTGTTCTCCTTCCGTCGACAACAATTTTTCTTCTTCTTCTTATAAGGGGAGGGGCAATATATGTCACCTTTTAAAAATTGAGGGGCAACATTTACACCACTGATAATTTAGGGGTGACATTGATAATTGACATATTTGTGGGGGGCATAAATTACAATTTCCCCTATAATATATATAGGTTGCAAAATCCACAAATTAAATTGTAGAATATTACCTTCAAGGAAGAGTACAATAATCACGTACAACAAGTCTAGTGTATCCAAGGCACTCCAATTGCTTTTCATGAATTTGTTTAGCAGAAGTAACAAGGGAAGAGTCACATCGAGTCAACTCAATTAACTGCAATGTTGTAATATCAGCAAATTCAATAGGAAATTTTTTCAATTTCCTACAGAAATCAAGTATTAGGCATTCAAGAACTGGAAAACTAGCACTCCAATGCTTAAAATCTAACACTGCAATTTTCAAGTACTTTAATTTGTAAAATCCATTCTCCGTTGTTTTCCACTCCGAGCCACAGAATGCTTTACGTTTCAATTTTAGAGCCTCAAGATTAGGCAATGTGGCAATAATGGCCATGTCATCCCATGGAAGGCAAGTTCCTTGAAGTGTCAACTTCTTGATGTTTAGTGGAAAAGATGTCGGAAGTCGAAAGACATCATGAAAATTAACTTTTTGTGGTACATCAATTTTCAAGTACTCCAATCCACTAAATTTGCCAAGACCATTGAGCCAATCATATGACGAGGAAGGGCCCTCATTTAAAAGCTTAGGTTTTGAAACAGAGTTGATGTCAATGTAAATCCCGAGTTTCTTCAAACATGGAAATTTTATGTAGTTTCCCATACTTCCCCAACTACGTTGAGCACATAGATATAAGCAAGAGATACTTTGCAGGTTATGATGAATCCACTTTGGAAGACAAACCGACGACTTACGGAACATAACATGCCTTAGTTGTGGCATATTGTCCAAAATATCAATCGGCGACTTCCAAACCTCCCCCGGAGCATTAGGTCCAATGGTTTCAATAATAAAGGTCTGCAATCTTCGAAGCATAAACCATTTGTAATCTTTAAGGGGTGCATTAGTTCTCAGGGCTAAGTATCTCAAAGAAACAAGATTCACTATTTCACTTGGTATGTCAACCAAATCACATAGACTTAAGTCCATCACCCTTAACAATTTAGGATAGAAGCGAAATGTTTGGGATGAGTAATTGGCCAATAATCCAGAAGCCTTAGGAAAATATAGAATTGAACGAAATTCCTGATGAGATGTGTGATTAATACTAATAGGAGAACCCAAATGGATGGATTGACTGCTGATCCAACGGCAAGCTTTTCCATCCAAGCCTGTTGACATACGCATGTGATTTTTGGATCCAAGCTTTTGTATCCAATATTTTGGATCCAAGAATTTTGCTAATCCAATGCCTGCAGGCTTACTAAGACTATGAACTCTACCCACCTCAACATTATTATTTTCATTTATAACATCCAAAAGGTTTTCCCTCCGTGCTTCTTCCAAGCAAAAGTTATGCAAGAGGTCATGGAGCTTACAAGACTTGATTTTTCCATCACAACTCCACTTAACAATTTGAACTAGACCTCTATCTACAAGATCTTGCAAGTAAGTCTCGCCTATCTTTTCCATGATTTCTCCATTCTCAAACTTTAAGAATCCTTCCGCAACCCAAAGCATAATCAATTTTTTCACACAAATCATACTATCTTCTGGGAAAATACCAAAATATAGGAAACAAACTTTCAAGTGCAGAGGTAAGTGGTCATAACTTAGTGATAGTATTTTTGAACATTTTTCTTCTTGATGTGTGTTGAGAAATGAATTCAAATTTTCAGCAATATTCTCCCACTGGGTTCGTGATGGCTCATTGAACGAGGTGAGAAGCCCAGCAACCACAATGATGGTTAGAGGTAATCCTTGACAATTTTCAAGGATACCTCTACCAATTGTCTCAAATTCAATGGAGAAATTTTTTTCTTCAAATACTTTCTTGTAAAATAAACTCCAACTTTCATGAGGATTTAAGAACCGCATGTTAATATGAAGATTATTGTTACCTGAGCCTGCAGAATAGTCAGCCACTTGTTTAAGCCTTGTAGTCAATAATATTCGACTTCCATTGAAATCTTCTGGAAAATATCCATGGATGTCATCCCATGCCTTGGTTTCCCATATATCATCCATAACAATTAGGTATCTCTGACCCATCAACTTTTTACGCAATTCATTTGCAAGATTATTGTTGTCTACTCCATTGGTAACATTAGAACCCAGAAGCTGAATGAGCATTTCTCTAAGATTATGCTTTTGTGATACTGTAGCCCATGCTCGAACATCAAAATGAGTAGCAATTGTTGCATCTTCAAAGACTTTTTTAATCAAAGTAGTCTTGCCAATGCCTCCCATCCCCACAACTGAGATGACTTGGAGTTGTTTTGATAGTGAAGTAGTGAGCTTGCACACTATGGTATCAAATTGATCAGCACATCCTACCATTACATTATTCTCTGGCTCTGAGGAAGAAGTTTTAGAGAAACTACCAACTTTGATATTCTCAATTGCGTTTCTTCTTTGCGGCGGCTCTACAGAATGGCTGCTGTTCTTGCTCTCAATCTGAATCCTCCGTTCAATTGATGTAATTTTTCGCTTTACTTGTTTCAAGGTCTGATAAAGACTCTCAGAAGGCTCAACAACGTCGACTGACTCGTTGAACATCAAATAAAGTTGATGTAATTCTGATTCGATCTTGTCTTCTGCATCACGAGCCACCCCTCTGATCTCTGACTCCAAGACTCTCCTTGTGATCTTGTTGCGAGAATCCTCCAAAAAGGCTTGCAAATTTCGAATCTTGTCACGCAAAGATTCGATCTTTTCTTTATGACGAATTAAGGTATCCCTTCCACCATCCCAAAAAAGGATATCCTTTCCAAAACGCTCTAGAAGATTAATCTGTAATGTATTTAGTAGAGAAGTGATAAGAACGAAATCCATTATATTGTATTGAAGCTAGATATATGGATCTATCGGAGTTGAGCAAAATAAAATATATGTTTCAGAATCTCAAAGAGATGAAGCAATTGAATGGATCTGATCGTCTTTCATCAATAGTTTACTTAGCTTAGCTTAGCTTTGAGACATCATAATTTGATGATGGAGGAGTGTGTGTGAACAAAACTGCAAGTCTTCCAATGAAGTCTACCCACAGTATGGACACGTGTGTGGTACACACGTAAAGAGGGATCTACTGTAAAACAAAAATATCTATGAAACATAATTTCTACATACAATTCCTTTAATTTTATAATTAAGGCAATAAAAAATAAAATTAACTAATTATACATTCATAAATATCTAGAAATATGTTTAAATGCATACATATGCTATGCACTATAATAATTTACATAAATACATATTAATATATAAATACTATGTGTACACACGAAAATATGTTCGATTAGAATCTAAACTTACCAATATAAAATTTAAAAGTTACAATTTTTAATTTTTAAATATAATTCCTTTATTTATTATTCATATTGGAATTATAATATATATGAAATACAACCAGAAATAATTCAATTTAATTATGTAGATTTTGTTTATAAATTTATTTAAATATATAATGGTTAGGGGTTATATTAACTACAAAATTTTAATTTTAATTTTGTATGCTATGAAAATACATACATGACTTAATATATAGGGTAAAAATATAAAAATTGGCTTGTTTAGATGGACAAATTAAGTTTACAAACTTAGGGTCCATTCAGTAATCTGAAAAATAATTTTTGAAAAATGATTTCTAAATAATGACATATTTCTTGAAATATTTTAATTTTCTAGTGTTGGTTGAATGTTATAAAACTATATATATTTTGTATGTTGGCTAAAAGTTAAGAAATTGTAGTTTTTTGTTTGGTTCATTTTGTTGAAAATGAACAGATAATAATAATAATAATAATAATAATAACAACAACAACAACAACAACAACAACAACAAAAACAACAACAACAACAACAACAACAACAATAACAATAACAAGCTAGAACAAGAACAAGAAGAAGAATATGCGATGATAGTGGTGGTGGTGGTGGTGGTGGTGGTGTGGTGGTGCTAGTGTTGGTGTTGGTGGCGGTGGTGCTAGTGCGGTAGTATGTGGTGGTGCTAGTGTTGGTGTTGATAATGGTGGTGTTGGTGTTGATGTTGGTGGTGGTATGGTGTTGGTAGTGGTGGTGTGGATGTGTATTTGCATTGGATTTCATATGGAAAAGATTTAAAGTATTCAACCTATTTAGCATGGCATCTATATATTGAGTTTGTTTTAACCGCACAAATTAAATATTTTAAGGATTCATGGTTGATATGAATTACAACTTGTTTTTTTTTTTTTTTGAAACAAAAAATGAGGGTTTAATTACTTAAACCAGAGTAGTCAGAAAAAATAAAGGGGGAGATACAAAGAGGAATATAGTCGAAGAAATTTGTCACCCCCTCTACAGAATTATACAACGCGTAAATTGCTAAGAAATGAGCCGAAGTGTTCGCCTCTCGCTTTGTAAAAACAAAACGAACGAGAGATGCACCAACTTGGTACGAATGTCATCTATAACAGCCCCAAATGGTGTATGAGTCTGTGTTGCAGGAACTGCATTTGTTACCACTTGAGCATCAGTCTCGAGGATAACCTGAGACCATCCATTCTTCTTGATCCAACTCAGCGCTCAATGCTCTTGAGAATTACAAACTCAGCACTCAATGCTCTAAGCTAGTGCCCTAGCAAGAGCTGTTGCAAATAAGGTTGAGAAAAACCAATAATAATCCTACGAAAAAGGTTTATTATTTTATGGGAAAAACTGGAAAAAATTTCTGGGAAGGACGAAAAAGATATGCGGGTAGGTGGTGAGTACAAGTCGAGCGAATCACTCTTTCCTTAAAACCTTACCACGACCTCAAGAATGAATACTTAACAGAAAAAGACCCCTATGTCCTCTAGAAATCTCTTAAGGAACGCTTTAACGAACAGACGTCATTGGTCCACCCCCAGGCCCAACATGATTGGCTTAACCTCCGATTTCAAGACTTTAAGTCTGTGACTGAATACAACTCCGCCCTACACAAAATTGTGTCACAATTGAAGCTCTGTAAGCAAACAATTACGGACGAGGATCTGATTGAAAAAACTCTATCCACGTTCTATCCAAATGACCTTGTGCCCTAGAAGCAGTACAGGAATACAAAGTATGCTACGAATCCAGAGCTCATTACGACTTTACTGGTGGCTGAAAAGCATAGCCAGTTCTTGATGCATAATCACAATGCGCGTCCAACTGGCGCTGCACCTGTGCCTGAAGTACACACTGTTGCCCAACAGAGCAACAATCGGCGGGGTCGAGGCCGAGGAAGGGGGAGAAGTCGTGGCAGGGGCCCAAAGCGAGGTGGTAGAGGGGGAGCTAGCAGTAGTGACTCTCGTCCTCAGAACAAGCAAACTCAAAGAAATAGACCAAACAAGTCACAACATAACTCCGGTCAGTCGCAGCCATGTTATAAATGTGGTTGCAAAGGACATTGGTCGGGACATGCAGGACTCCTAAGCATCTGGTCGAGGCTTACCAAAAGATACTCCAGTAGGAAGAAGGACAAAAGAAGAAATTCTAGGCAATCATCTTTGCCTGAAGCAAATGCCCTCATCTTAGGGAATGATGACCTGCTAGGCGATGAACTAGTTAATTATGGAGATCAGGAGTGAAACTCCTATTTTTTATTCTTTTCTCTCTTTCCCTTATGGACATCCTTTTTACTTCATGCATGCGTGCATGTTTATATTTAAAGTCTTTTGTCCTATATGAATAATGAATCTTTTTTTTTTTTGAACACTTTTGTTCTATTTGAATAAATACAATAGATCCTTCTTACACATTATCTTGATACCCATTCTTTTTCTTTAGAGATATAGGAGACGAATCAACCCTATGCTTAGTTGATTGTGTGACTACGCACACTGTTCTGACAGACCGAAGATTTTTCCAAACATTCAAGGAACACAAAGGCAACCTTTCAACCATAGCGAATGATGACATTCCTATTGTGGGCTCCGACAGAGCTTCACTTATTCTTCCTAACGGAACAAAGTTGATAATTGATTCAGCCCTCCTATATCCCCAATAAAAAAGAACTTTGCTCAGTTTTAAGGATATTCGGTCCAACGGTTTCCACATATAAACTAAAACTAAAAATAATACCGAATTTCTTGTTTTGACCAAAATGGTCAACAACCAGAAAAAGGAAATTAAAGAACTTCCTTCCTTTTCTTCAGGCCTGTATTATTCCTATATCAGGCCCCACCACTCCTGCGTTGCACTCGCAGTGAAATTCAAAGATACACATTCTTTCAGTCTATGGCATGACCGCTTAGGTCACCCTGGGCAAACTATGATATGCCGGATTCTTTCAAATTCAACTGGACATAACCTTCTTAGGGCAAACATTCTTTCTACAAAAGATTACACATGTGTTCCATGTGCACAGGGAAAACTTATTGTTCGTCCCTCGCGTCCTAAGATTGATTTTGAGTCACCTGTCTTCCTGCAGAGGCTACAAGGTGATATTCCTCGAAATATGGCATTCGCAAAATTCATGAACCAAATCATTAGGTTGAATGCCCAATTCCCCGATTATCCTATTAAGAACATAAGAATGGATAATGCTGGTGAATTCACTTCGTTAGCTTTTGATGATTATTGTATGGCCATGGGAATTAAGGTGGAACATCCTGTACCATACGTCCACACCCAGAATGGTTTAGCTGAATCTCTAATCAAAAGAATTAAACTAATAGCTAGACCATTACTGCAACGATCCAGTCTATCTGTCACTTGTTAGGAACACGCAGTGTTGCATGCTGCAAATCTATTCCAACTCCGGCCAACTTCATATCACAATTACTCCCCTCTACAACTTGTACGTGGTAATGAGCCAGACATTTCTCATTTGCGTGTCTTTGGCTGTGCGGTTTACTTACCTATACCAGCTTCACATCGTATTTCGATGGGCCCGCAGCGTTGATTAGGTATTTATGTTGGGCATGAATCACCTTTTATCATTAAATACCTCGAGCCCATGACAGCAGATCAGTTTACTACACGGTTTGCTGACTGCATTTTTTATAGATCATTTCCTGGCATTAGGGGGAACGAAAAGCCACTTTGAAAAAATGCCACAAAATTTCATGGGATAAAAAAGATCTTCAGTATCTTGACCCACGTACTAATCAAACTGAACTTGAAGTTCAGAAAATAATAAATTTACAACACAACAAAAGTAAAGTAATCAATCAAATAACGTATGTCAGAAAAGAAAGAGTGAATTCCATTTTTGGTCCTATTGTTATAAGGGTTTTTTCAATTTTAGTCCACCATAATTATTTTTGCCACATTACGTCCATTATTATTAAAAGTGTTCCAATTTTAGTCCACTTTAAGATTTTTCGTGGACTAAAATTGGAACACTTTTAATAATAATGGACGCGAGGAAATTACACTTTTGGTCCTGTGACTATTGTGGTCTTGTTAATTTGAGTACTTGACTTTAAAAACTAACAATTTAATCCCGTGACTATGCAATTTTTAACACATTTGGTCCTTCCGGTCAAATTGCCGATCAAATGTCGCCGGAAAAATATAAATCATTTTTAATTATTTAATCATGAGGGCAAATCGGTCATTTCAGGTCTTCTTCTTCCTTCTCCACCCTTCTTCTTCCTTCATGTAGCACGGCCGGAAAGCAGCTCAGGAATCGGAACCTCTGCACCATCCTCCTGATGAAGAATTTTGAAGAAACCGAGTGTGAATGCTGAATTTTGACTCCTAATCGCCAGCCGCAACTAAAGAAATCTAAAATGGGTTTAAGAGAGAGAGTATAAAAAACAGCAGCGAATATAGAAATCTGAAGTAGATCTAGTTCAAAATGAAGGCAATATCATCAATAATGATCTTGAGCTCAAGATCACTAATGGCGACCATGAGGATTAAAAAAAAAAAAACGAAATGGGAATTGGATGAAAAAGAGAGAATTAATTTTTTTAAAAGAGTTTCTGAAGTACAAAAAAGTTAAAATTATTATTGATTCTAGTTCCAATTTTTATACCAAATGGATAAGCTACTTTTACTAAAAACTCTCAAATTTGGACCAAAC